CACACACACACACACACACACACACACACACACACACACGATGTTGGCGGAGGACTATTCCGTCTTAGGTAAGTTGTACTCTGCCCTCCATGGCTTTACGAATGAATGGTTCCTGGCCCTGTGATATGTACAATGCTTCACATGAAGGTGATAAATGGGGGTGTCGGAGGAGTTGACTACTGCGTGCTGGATTCATTCGATGTCAATCATTCGAATAAAAAATGACACCCACTAGCCAACCCTCGTATGATGTCCGTATACTGACTGACAGCGTTGAACGACCGCATACTTGGAGCAGAGGGACACACATACAACATTAAACAAACCCTCACGGAGCTTGAAATCATCGTTTTGCCGTTCTACTTACAGACACATACACAAAAGCACAACCATCATGTCGATGTCAGTGGCGCAGGCGAGGACAACTCTTAAAGAGGTGATGCAATACGCGGAGGAGGGAATCCACTACTATGACGACGGGGAGCTCCGACTACTCACGGAGAGAGTGCCGAGTTACTTCGATGTCAGAGTGAACATTCGAGCAAGCATCGCTGCGAACGGAGAGGAGTCGCTCAGAGCACGGATGCTATTGGCACGGTTCACTGAGGCGCATGATTTGCGTGTAGACAACACTGCTGATAGTAGTGCATACATTTTGAGAAAAGTGGTTGGTTGGATGTGCACAGAAAGGATGTCCGATGAAAGCGACGTGGATATGACAAAGCAGCAGAAGGGTGGAACATACATGCCAGCCGATTTCAAGCAGACGCTGATGACACAGACGAAGAAATGGGGAATGGTTGTTGAAGGTTCTAAGGACGAGATGAAGAGCGGTGTAGCAGAAATTTTAGTACTCTCGCGTTTGAAGGACATACCGCAAGCTCCTCCGCAAGACTTCCAAGAACTTCCAGTAATTATTGCAAACGGGGTGTAGTATGTTTTACTCGACCAACTGGTGGATTTCATGAAAAAGAAACTTGACGATCGGAATGTCATGCATGAGGCATTGCATGATGTGACAGAGCAAGCACTGGCGGGCAAGGACCTCATTACGTACAGGGTGCGGAGTGTGGACGATGATTTCGTATGTGGTACTCCATTGTGGGATGGAATGTTCATGGCAGTTTTGCATCGCCTCAGCATTGCGACTTTTGAGGTGGACAGAAATAGGTTAAGGGAAGAAGGATGAAAGTTGGTGGCCAGGGAAGCAGATGTTGCACTTCATGCATCAGATGGACACGCTTCAACAGGCGAAGAAATTGTGAGAACAGCCTCCATCGTGAGTTTTCCAATAAACGCAATGTCGACGGAGGAGGTAGAAGAAAAAGATGTGTTCAATGAGTGGACAATGACAGAACAACAACGGGAACGAGGGTTCGAAGACTCTTCTTTACCGATCGATTTCGAACATGAGATCGAAGAAACAAGAGTGATCAACAATGAAAAAGATGCGAGGGCGCCTGACAATGAGGTGGAAGTGAGTGGCAACGATGTGAGCAACGATGAGGAGGGTGAGGAATATGATGCCTACTGGGATATGGAAGCAGGGGGAGGACAAGCGTCAAAAGGGTGGGCACATGCGATTCTAAGGTTGACACGTGTATTCTCTAATCCCCATTTACTGTTGCGTGTCGTGCTGAAGGAAGCAACACCTGCGGGCGCACTCCAGTATGCAGCACTGACGACCATTATGAGATCATGCTCGAACGGAAAAAGATGGTCACGAATGGGGAAGTCATGGTTTGTCTTGGTCAACAGAGAGGTTGTCCTCGCAACATCACTTATGTGGGGCCTGGACCTTAGTTGCCTCCTGCACAGGGCTGTAGCCAGCGGTTCTGGTGCTACATTGCACCCGGCACTATCAACAGGAGAGGAAATACTTCGTGCTCACACATGGCTTGACTGCGCACCAGACACCATGGTGGACAGCGGTGATACACATATTGGTAGTGGACAGCGTTGAATGCAACTGTTCAATGCACAGGCTATGCATATCATGATTAATTTTGCATTGTGCGGTCACGGAGTGTGTGCAATATTTCAGGTGTTCGAGTGCTCGACAAGGGTGTACTCTCTCTCTCTCTCTCTCTCTCTCTCTCTCTCTCTCTCTCTCTC